AATTTTTGTTTCATGGTAGTGGAAGCGGAGTCGAAAGCTTCACATCCATATTCAAGAACTGGTTTGATTAAAGCTGAGTATAACTGATAAAGTGTCTTGCAGTCAGCGCCCCACGTGGTTCCGCTAAAACAGCGCAGGAGGTTAAGTTTTCTTTTACATTTCATGATAATATTATCTATATGTAGTTTGCACGTAAGTTTGCTGTCAAAGGTAACGCCCAGGAATTTGGCTGATTGTAAAAATTGGATGGAGCGGTTCTGGATAGCGAGGGACACGTTGGTTTTCTGTTTGTTGGTGAAAGAACTGCAACGGTTTTAGGGTAGGATAATTTGAAACGCCATTTTTCACACCAAGTGAGAATATTATTAAGACTATTTTGGATTATTTTTTCAAGAAAAAAAATGTTCCTGTTAGACTTCCATATGGCTATGTCGTCTGCATATTGGGAAACTTTGACGTTAGGAAGGTGCTGGGAGAGATCGTTCACTGCAATTTTAAAAAGCAAAGGACTAATGACACTGCCTTGGGGAAAACCATTTTCCTGGGTTCTTTCAATAGAGAGAATATTGTTGATCTTAACGTGGATTTTTCTATCACAGAGAAAATTATCAATCCAGCGGGTTATTTGCCCATATATGCCCATGGCTTGGAGTTTAATTATGATCCCTTTACGCCATAGCATATCGTAAGCCTTCTCAAGGTCAAGAAAGACTGTAAGAGTGCTTTCTTTGTTAGCACGGGCTTTGTTGACGGACGGCTCAAGATTAAGAATGTGATCTTTTGTGCTACGTCCTTTACGGAAGCCGCTCTGTTTCTGGCTGAAGAGGTCATGTGTTTCTATATATCACAATAAGCGGGAGTTAACCATGCGTTCCATTAGCTTGCATAAGGTGGAGGTGAGAGCCATTGGGCGGTAAGATGAAGGGTTGGCTGGATCTTTCCCTGGTTTGAGGATAGGAATGGGAATAGTGTCTTTCCGCTGCTTAGGACATTGGGAGGTGTACCAGATCATGTTGAAGATGATGAGTAAGTATTCCCTGATTTTAATGGGCAAATGTTTGATAACTGCATTGCTGATTTCATCTTTTCCCGGTGTTGTATATTTGGAAGCATCAATGGCATGATTCAATTCGTCAATGTTGAAAGGTTCATTAAGGACTCCATCATTGTTGTCTTGAAACCTGAAAGTGCTTTCCGCCTCTTTTTGGTGTTGATGAAAGAGGGGTTTTAGTTTTCATTGCTACTGATTTTAGCAAAATTATCAACAAGGGTCTCAACTTTGTCTTTGTCAGTGACAACGTTTTTACCGTCATAATTAATGACCGGAATGTTGGTCTTTTTGTGAGAAGGGTCATTACGTTTGATTTTGTTCCGGATAAGTTTAGTATTAGTTCTTGGCTTAAGGTCGTTGCAAAATTGTTCCCAGTCTTTTCTTTTTGCAACTTTGATGGTTTTCTTAGCGAT